CTCGACCGCTAAGCTTTCGGTTGCGAGACTCCATTGCGGTTGTATTTGCCTCGCGTTCAGCCGTCATCTTTCGCGCTCTGCCTCTTCGCCCTTGGCTCCCACGACCACGGCCACGGGGGGCAATGTCTTCAGCCGGGAGGCTGGTCAAAGGGCCCGATTGATCGGCATAGCACAGGCCCATTGCGTCAAAGACAAGATTCAGTCGCTTTTTCCTAGCAAGGGATTGGCAACGACCCTTGTGTTCTCTGTCGTCGTAAAATCCAACGATTTCTTCGGCCTTGTGCTCTATCAAACTCACAAAACTGAAGTTGGTAGTGAAAGCCTCAGACGGTGCGACGTTGAGATGCGGGAAAACATATCCATCCCGCCGCTCCATGTCAGGAAACCGTGTTTCGCTGCTCAGCGGAGGGCTTTCGCAAGCTATCCATTCCTCCACCAAATCTCGGCTGATCTGCCAGTGAGATGTCAAAGCAAAGGCATCTGCAGCCTCTGTGTCACGGGGATTGTCAGCCAGGACCTTGGCCAGGCGATAACCTTCCATCGGAGTCATCTCCGAGATGAGTATGTGCACTTTCAGTAGGTCATTTTCTAGCGCTGCTGTAGCATCTTCGTCAGAGCACACGCGGTGGTAAAACCAATAGTTGGTCCAGCGCGGCCACTTATTCCGGTAAGCTGGTACGATCTAAACAGTACCCTTGGTCTTTTTTAGAATCAAATTATAGGACCCATAGTGGGCCACCATCTCGGCCTTCGTCTGCCGGTCCTTGATAGTTTTCTTGTGAAAATGGGTCTCATTGTAGCGCGCGAAAGTGTTCACACTTAAAGCACACCCAGGCATCTTCAACGCCATGGCGAATACGCTCAGCCGTGCAAAGGCGTTGGGAGTCAGGTGATGTATCTGCAAGTTGAAGCACTGCAGAACTTCGCCTACAAAGTCCTCGCAAGGAAACCGCAGTCCTGCTGCAAAGAAGTCACGGAAGACGAGGGCCTTGTATGGCTCGGAGCTTGGCACTTCTTCTCGGCCTGGCGCCTGGCACAGTCCACGTAGTGTAGGCTTGATAAGCCCTTTGGTAACGTACTTGTCGAGCTCCGCTTTAGTAACACAGGAACGCCCCAACCGGTAAGTTGTTGGAGTCAGACCAGGTTGCCCCTTAGCAGCGGCAGGAACTGGCCCAGGAGTCTCACCCTCTTCCACAATTTCGACATCCGTATCAGTCTCCTTAGCATCAATATCGCCTGAAGGACCGCGGGCACTTCTGGCGGCATGTGCAGGCATCGTGTTATCATCCTGAGTATTCGACAATTGAGCTCCCATTCTTTCATATGCGCTTTGCGAATTAGTGCGGGGATTCAGAACCAGAAACGTCAGATGAGCTCCCGCTGGACAAACTGGCGCCAGACGTCGACTCACTTGACATCTATCCAAGCGAATTCCATACAAAAACCCAGAAACAGAAAATAGTAAACAGGCGAAAAAAGCGAAACACTAAAAAAGGACAAGTGCATGAGAGTGAAGTAAAAAACAAACAAAGCAAAGCCAATATGAACCTGCGAAATGATCGGCGAAGGCTGGAGTCCTAGCCGAGGCGAGCAAGAGAACGAAAACTAAGCGAAGAGACAAAGAGTGAAGGCGTAGTTCTCAAATAAGGGCTGAAGGTGAGACGAGCGCGCACGGCTCCACTGGCTTGGGGGGTTTATATAGGCACCTGGCGTGCGAATCAAGGAAACGACGCGACGGTTCACTTAACCGCCGCGACGGTTCAAATTTCGAGAAACAGTTATATGGCGCGATAATCGGAAAACAGTTACACACTGTTCCAATAATAATAATAATAATAACTACAATGATAATAATAATAAATAAAATACATACATATATACGCGTATAGCAACACAGACCTCCACCCTTCGCCTAGGACGGCGTACGAGCCCCAATGCGTGACAGTCCCATAGAAATTTTTATCTATAACTAAGTTATACATGGTCCAATGAGTACGAAATTTTTACTATAGTTTAAGCATATAATAATTAACCTACCATAAAAATTTCACCACAATTGGACCATAGAAGCTGCAGCTATGAATTATTCTAATTAATTACAGACAAAATTGGATTTTCCAATTAATCTAAAGCTACAGCAAAAACTTTGTACTAAAGCATACTATATTATATATTCACTGTGTAGATCTACTCATGTGGAGTCCAACAAAATTAGATTTTCCATTTTATGATTTTTCTGTGATTTACTATGATTTTTCAAAGATTCAGCGGAAATAAGGGAAAAGACAGAACCTCTGACACTGTAGCAACCCGCCGTTACTGTAGCAACCCACCGCTGAAAACCACCTGGGGGGTAAAATAGACGGTTTTGGAAAGTTCAGAGGGTAAATCAAACCGTTTCATAGTTGAGGGGTTACGTAGACCACCGCCTTAGTTAGGGGGGTGGAGTAGACTTTTTCTTTTTTAATGGTGCGTGGTTGGGCAATGTTGAATTGGGAGGAGCATTTGTAGTTTTTTTTTTGGGTCTAGTGGCGATCTGTTTGGCGTTTGATCTTCTTTGACGGCTTAAAGCACGCAACGAATCATTTAGTTCTTTTTTAGTTTCATTTTGGTTGCCTAGTTATATGGCCTAATAGGGTTGTATTCTTATGTTTTTTTTCTGCTATGTCAATAGAAACACACACGTCAAATGTGTTCGTTAAAAAAAAATATTTTGCAGCTATAAACTTAAAGTGAGAAGGGTGAGATTGGGACAATATGGCAGAGGAGTGAGAGACGTAAGGAAGGGGTGAAACATAGCCAACAAGGAGTGAAGGGCAAGTGACTGAGGAAGAAATTTTCACTCTTTAATATTAGGTACAAATATTCTTCTTCTACATAACTAGCTAACATTACAGTTTAATTCAGACCATCGAAAAAGTACTCCCTCTGACAAAAAAAATGCATATCTTCCTTTTTTTAAGAAGATAACCAATATTAAATTTAACCAAATATAAAAATATTAATATTTATGATGCCGAATAAGTATAAATGGATTAATCATGCGACATATTTTTTTTATAGTAAATCTATTTAAAGATATGAATATCGATATTATTTTCTAAATATATCTAGCTAAACTTAAAATTAACTGACTTATCAAAAAGCAATGTGGTCCCTTTGTTCTTTTTCACATGTCACGTTATCTTTGTCCTAACTCAAATATTACTATATTTAACCATCTATTTCAAAAAGTCTTTATTATATATATAGTTTGACAACATATCATGAAAAGTGTATTTCTTATAGTGAATCTAAAAACATAAATTTTATGTCATGGATCTATATAGTTTTTTTAAAAATCATTGGTCAAAGATATAAATGTTTGAATTGACAAACCTAATACAATAATATCCACCCATGTAACCAAAGACCATGTAATCAAACGAAATAACGAAACATCCCTGTTATTCGTTTGCGCAAATGCCATTCCATCTGATGAATTTATCTTTTGTTAGCCCGTCGGAAAGGAACATTGAACGTTCAGTACAGTACTCATAACTTGCTCAAGCGCCGCATTTGAAAAATTTAAATTGGCTGGGGGATTCTGGATCGTTCAAAATGGTGTGTGTTTGCACAACTGATGATGGATTACATCGGATCAGACAGACGACGAGCGAGATATTAATTTCTTGATCGAGGTAATCCAACAGGAGGCTATTAATGTCAGAGGCAATCCAGAAATATTTTATTGCTAATAATAAATTAAGACGCATGCCGGGTGCCCGGGAAGAGATACCATATTATTATTGCAAAACATCTGGTAGAAGAGTTTTTTTTTCGAGAACATTTGGTAAACGATATCGAAGCATTAATACATTCCATATATCCAGTCATGCCAGCATCAAATCTACAAGGATTATTTGCTGGTGGTGCCAGTACGTACGTAGTGAAATCGACGAGTTGGAACGAATTATGGAAAACAATAAACACAGACGCCGCGAATACTACTCACAGCATTAATCACCAAAGATCGCATGAACGCACAAGGACAGCGTAGTCAGCGCCGGTCGGCCGCCTCCGCAGTCAAACCCGCCTCAACGTGAAACCAGCGGCGGGCCGGGCCGGGACGGGACGGGTCTGTCCGTCCGACCACCCCTCTCCGATCCACTCCGCCCTATAAGTACGTAGCTGCAGGTCGTCGTCTCCACACCGACACCGTCGTCGTCTGTCACAAGCCACAACGACACTGTGATCGACACACACAAGTTCAACAAATTAACACGGTATTAATTACTTTAGCAATTAGCAAAGAGATGGGATCCCTGCAGCCCAATGCTGTCGTAGTTGCAGTGGCCGCCGTAGTCCTGGCGGCGCTCGTCGGCGGCGTGTCGTGCTGGACCAACGGCGGCCCCAAGGTGCCGCCGGGCCCCAACATCACGGCCGACTACGACGGCAAGTGGCTCGCCGCAAAAGCCACCTGGTACGGCAGTCCCGTCGGCGCCGGCCCCGTCGACAACGGTACGTACGCGAGATTCTGAATTCGACCCGTGCCATGCATGATCTCGATCGATCCACCTGACGACACGTCGTCGTCCTGCATGCGTTTCTCGATCACTTGTCAGGCGGCGCGTGCGGGTTCGAGGACGTGAACCTGCCGCCCTACAGCGGCATGACGTCCTGCGGCAACTCCCCCATCTTCAAGGACGGCAAGGGCTGCGGCTCCTGCTACCAGATCAGATGCACGGCGCCACACGAGTGCTCCGACCAGCCCGTGGCGGTGTTCATAACCGACGTGAACGACTACCCCCTCGCTCCCTACCACTTCGACCTCAGCGGCACGGCGTTCGGCTCCATGGCCAAGCCCGGCCTCGCCGACAAGCTCCGCCACCGTGGCATCATCGACCTCGAGTTCAGGAGGTCGAACGATGATTTCAAATAAAAAACTCCTTCATCATCATCATGTATATATATAAATGCAGCAGAAATAACATGACTGACGGACTGGCTACTGCATGCAGGGTGCGGTGCAAGTACGCGCCCGGCAAGAACATCGTGTTCCACGTGGAGCACGGGTCCAATCCCTCCTACCTATCGCTGATGATCAAGTTCGTGGCGGGCGACGGCGACATCGTGCAGATGGACCTCAAGCGGGAGGCGTCGCCGGAGTGGGAGCCGATGCACCACTCGTGGGGCGCCGTCTGGAGGATAATAGACCCGCACAGGCCGCTCAAGGGCCCCTTCTCCATCCGCCTCACCAGCGAGTCCGGCAAGGAGCTCGTCGCCAGCGACGTCATCCCGGAGGACTGGAAGCCCGACACCGTCTACCAGTCCAACATCCAGTTCTAGCTAGATGCCTAGATCCAATCAATTAACTGATCGGAGCATGCATGCATGTACCGTTAATTAATCATCAGACTGATGAGGCTACTTCTGAATTCTATCTAGTATATGTAATCAGAGCCCACCTTTTGTTCGGGTTCAGAGCATAAGTAAAGAAAACTAATTAAAGGAAACCTTTAGTGAACTTGCCATACTCAGATCAAAAATCAAAGGTGCAGATCTTGTCATTGCTGATTTGCAAAATTCGGGTGTGAAGGCTCGTGTTTTCACCCGTTTCTTGGTGGCAACCAAATTTGAACATTCTCAAATAAAAAACAGCAGAAGTTGATATATATGGCCTTCTCTACGCCCGTATTTTAGTTTTAGTTAGTGTCAACTTATATTGGATTTACACCAAATTAGTACTAGAGTTATGGTAATTTCAGATGTAAATCTTCTCTCCTACAGCTCGATTTTAATTTTTGACAACTTAGGTTGGATTTTCACTCAACTTGTACTAGAACTACGGTGTTTATTTCCGTGTAATTTTTTATGTAGAATTAGTGTAACTAAAAATTTAGGTGTGACAAAAAGAATAATTCACCCAATTATTACAGTACCTTTAGTCTTGGTAGTTGGTACCCTAAACCCTAGAACTCCCTTCCATGCATCCGATTTTTTTATTACATAACATGCTCACAAAATTTGGATGTAGAAGGGATGTTTTCCACCTGGGTACAACATACCAAAGCTAATGGTTTATCTTCTACCCACTATCTTCTAATGAAATCAAACCTCTCTAATTTTAAAAAGAAATAAATTTGACAAAGAAATTACCTCAATCGGGGGCCTAAAATTCCCATGAGAGACCAAGTATAACTGCTAAGGAATATAAATTTCCTTTGAGGTTGTTGTATATCGCTAAGGCCGTGTTTAGTTGGCGATTTTTTTTGGGAAATGGTACTGTAGCACTTTCGTTGTTATTTGGTAATTAGTGTCCAATCATAGTCTAATGAGGCTTAAAAGATTCGTCTCGTGAATTTCGTCTAAACTGTGTAATTAGTTTTATTTTTTATTTATATTTAATGCTTCATGCATGCGTCCAAAGATTCGATGTAACGGGGAATCTTAAAAAATTTTGCAAAATTTTGGGAACTAAACAGGCACTAAGGTGTATAGCATTTTTCTTGTCGATTGTGCTGGACCTTAAAGAAATTGCACCATTTCGTTGGAGGTTGGCAGTCACAAAAATGCTCACAGCGTGCCATATGGGTGCTGCCCCCACTAATATGCGTACATTATATTCACACTACACTGGAGGCGTGTGTGTAAGTCTAGGATCTCGATTACTACACGCTGTATGGTGGCTGGATCAAAGATCAAAGCACGATGAACACAGGTGTTTGTCTCGGCAACTGCCCGGAGGTCTCCCGGGTGACAGTGCCCTTTTTCACTCACAAATGTTCAAAGTACCATACGCCTAACCGGCTTACAATGTGATAACTGGACTCCTCGAACTACCAGCTACATATATTAGCCATCTCACACACACCCATTAGCTAAACAAACCGCTACACGTGGATACAAGACTCGGAAAACACACTCTGCAGAAACCGCCTAGTCATGGACGCGGTCACCGCAAACCGCAGCTCCGCTCTGGCGTCCTTCCGCTTGAATTCTCGCCTTCCCTTGGTGACTCACTCCTCTCTCCGCTCGGTGTCTTCTTCATCGGTGTTGGCAGGATTACGCCAACATTCTCCCCTTAAGCTCGATGCAGAATCGAGGGTCTCGACATCGATCAAATGCCTCATGACCGATAACTTCCTTTGCTGGCATTGCTTTGGTTAGCACATCGCCTTCGTTCCTCGGTTCCCACTCTCTTCACCGAGATCGACCCTTCTCAATGCACTCCTCGATGAAATGATATTTCAGATCAATGTGTTTACTCCTCCCATGAAACATTGGATTCTTCATGAGTGCAATGGCGAGTTGTTGTCTACATAGAGAGTCACTATCTTTGGCTTCTCTTTTGTTATCTCTTTGGTCGATTCCTCAACCACGATGCTTGCTTTGCTATTGATGTAGCAGCCATGAACTCGACTCACAGGAAGACAATGCTCTCATCTTTTTGCTTCTGAGAGCACCAGGTTATAAGGTTCTCATTCAGATAAAACGCCATCCCACATGTACTCCTCCTTTCAACCTGTGTTAGCACCATGATCACTATCTCGTGTAACCCACAATCTTATGCGCACTCCCACCTTGAACGTGAGACCGGTCCAAGATCTATAGTGCCCTTCAAGTATCTCATGATTTGCTTAACAACTTTACTATGCATCACTTGTTGGTCTTTCCATGAATCGCTAATAACCTAATGAATATGACAGATCAGGTCTGCTGTGCAATAGATATCTCAGACATCCAATCATCTTTCTATAATCTGTTGCATCAACTCTCTGCCCTTCCTTGTCAGCATTCAGTTTACACCCTGGCTCCATTGGGACTTTGGTTGGATTGCAATCACCCATTCCAAATTGCTCCAATATTTTCTTAGCGTATCCACTTTGTTTAACAGTAATGTAATCTCCCCTTTGCTCTACCTCTATACCTAGGTAGTAGCTTAACAGACCTAAGTCTGTCATCTCAAATTCAGTCATCATTTGCTCCTTGAATAAGCTGATTTCATCTGGATTCCCTCCAATCACTATCAGGCCATCAACATACACACCTAAGATGACTGCATTCTTCCCAACTCCTCTGGTATACACTGCTTGCTCACTGAGACACCTCCTGAAATTCAACTTTTTCAGACTTTTGTCAAGTTTGACATTCCAGGCTCTAGGAGCTTGTCTAAGGCCATAAAGAGCTTTGCTCAATTTGAACACATGTTGTTCTCCACCTTTTACTTCATAGCCCTCAGGCTGTGACACATAGACTTCCTCCTCCAATTCTCCATGCAAGAAAGCAGATTTCACATCCAAGTGATGAATTTTCCACCCATTGTTAGCTGCAAATGCTAATAGCAATCTCACTGTGTCCAATCTGGCAACAGGAGCAAACACCTCCTCAAAGTCTATGCCATACTTCTGTACATATCCCTTTGCAACCAATCTGGCTTTGTATTTCACCACTTCACCTTCAGAGTTTCTTTTCACCTTAAACACCCATTTCAGACCAATGGGTTTCTTGCTGCGCAGTAACTTAGCCAGTTCTGTGTCTTATTTTTCTCAATGGATTCCATTTCTCTATCCATTGCCTTCACCCCCCTCGATGACTAGTCGCTTCTTTGTAACAAGATGGTTCATCCGCCTCGCAAGTAGTGCTTCAACATCGAGTCCATTAATTCAATGACGGAGAGGTATTGTCATAGATCTCATCTAAGTTTTCGAACCTCATGGCTCCACTCTCATTAGCTGATGATGGTGTAGAAACATCAACCACCGACACACTATGTTGGGGTGTTGAAGGATCAGCAACAAAAGTTCCAAATCGATCGCATGATTCTTTGATTGTTTTTCTTCGCTTGCCATCGTAGTAAATTCGACACAATTTATGCGAAATCTCAACTACTGACACGAACCATTACCCATTGGCACATCCTGCCAAGTCTATTCATCATCATCATCACCACCAACATAAGTATATGTCACAGCTTCACCTTCTACAGAAAACTCAACTGAGCTATCTCCCCCTGAAACAGTGCTCCAATCCCACTTCCTGTTTTCCTCAAACACTACATCTCGGCTTACAACCACCTTGTTTGACTTTGGGTCATACATTCTGTATGCCTTGCTCCCATCTTCAACTCCAAAGTGAACTAGCTTCATGCTTCTGTCATCAAGCTTCTTTGGATGAGGTGCATTGGTTTCACATGTCCTGTGCACCCAAACACTCTCAAGTGTCCCAAACTTGGCTTCCTCCAGTCCAAGCTTCATGTGGTGTTGTATTACCCAACACCTTTGTTGGTAAACTGTTCAAGAGAAAAAGCAGAATGCGGATGAGCTTCTCCCAAGATTACTTCCTCTGGTATGCTCATGCTTTTCAACAGAGCCCTAGCCATCTCCATTACAGTTCTATTCCTTCTTTCAACAACCCCAATTTGCTGGGTGAATAAGGAGCTATAAAATGCCTCTTGATTCCTGCCTGTTCACACACACCTGCAAACTCACCTGCAAGGAATTCACCTCCCCTATCTGATCTGAGAGTCTTAATTTTACAGTCAGTGTAATTTTCAACCTCTGACTTGTACTTGACAAATGCTGACAACGCTTGATCCTTGCTTTTCAGCATATAAACATGCATCCATCTTGAGTGATCATCTACCAATAGCATAAAATATTTATTGCCTCCTGCTATTGCTGGTGTTATTGGCCCACACAGATCAACATGGACCAAATTAAGCTTCTCTGTAGCATGCCACTGAGTTGCTTTAGGAAATGGTGTTCTAGTTTGTTTTGCAGCCAAACAATCACTACACACTTGCTCTGGGTGACTAATAGCAGGCACTCCAGTAGCCATTTCCTTCCCCACCAATTGTTTCAGAGATCTAAAGTTAACATGTCCCAATCTCCCATGCCATAGCCATGCTTTATCATCAATGCTAACCATCAAGCAATCTGGTTCTACTATTTTCAATTCAATTTTGTACATCCTATTCAGAGTTCTGGGAACTTTCATGATCAATCTATCAGAGTGCTTTTCTAACACTTCTAGCTCATCATCATCAAGCATAATCTTGTATCCTATCTCTGTCAACTGACCAAGACTGACAAGGTTGCTTTTTAATTTAGGAATATAGTAAACATCAGACAATACCCATTGATCACCACGTTTTCCCTGAAACACAATAGTACCTTTGCCCTGAATTTCGACAGTAGAGTCATCACCAAACCGTACCTTGCCTGAGATAGCACGATCTAGATCTCTGAACTTCTGAAGATCACCAGTCATGTGGTTGCTTGCTCCATTGTCCAAGTACCACAAGTTGCCTGTCGGATTGCCTCCTTCAGACAAGTGGAGTTCAGGCACTGCACCAGCCTCATTCAGAAACACCTTCTGAACTTGGTTTGTTGACGGGTGCTCAAGCTGTCTCGGCATGGCCGTTTTAGCAAGTAACACCGAGTGTTCCTTCTCCTCCGCCTTTGCAAAGTGCGCCTCCTCCTTCTTCTTCTCGTTTGGGCATCTATTTGCATAATGCCCATAGGTGTGACACTTGAAGCATTTTTTGTGACTTTTGTCACGCTTCCCTGCGCCATCCTTCCCGGCATCACCACCGGCACCTCGACCGCCACCGCCACCACTGCGGCCACGACCACGCCCTCGGCTCCCACCATCTCCTCTCTTCCCCTTCCCAGAAGAGTCACCTCCCGCGTTCTTCTGTCTAGCTTCCCACTCCGCTTGGGTGAGCAAAAGCTACCCACTATTGGATCGCGTGCCGCTGCTACCCCGCTGCGTACGTTCTTCTAATGCCTTCAAACGCCCAACTACATCATCAAATGCCAACGACTTCAGATCATAGAATTGCTCAATACCGGCCACGACCGTCAAGTACTGATCAGGCACGATATCAAACAATTTCTTGACTAACTCCCGATCCTCCAGGCATCCCCCCAGACTGCTGTATCTAACTGACATCGCCGTCAGTTTCCCCACAATCTCATCCAGGGATTCTCCATTCTTCATCCAAATGGCATCAAACTCCGTCTTGAGCATCTGCAACCTCGCGTCCTTCACCCGATCCGCCCCAACGAAGCGAGCTTTCAGGGAATCCCACACCTCCTTCCCCGTCTTCTTCTTGGCGACTTGCATAAGCAAGTCATCAGGAATACATTGAAGAAGATGCGCCTTGACCTTTCTGTCCTTGGCGGTCCGCTTCGCCGTCTCCGCCTCGGACAACACCGTCGACTCCTCCACCTCCGGCTCAACCACCCCACTCCTCCCGATCCTCCATGATCGCCTGAACCCGAATACACCAGCTGGTGTAGTTCGTGTGCATCAGGGTCGGATACACTTGGCGTGCCTCCCCGTCGCCGCGCGCACCCTCTCCTGCCGGCACAATCGACATGGCTCCCGATCTCGAGTGTCTCCGCGAGTAATCAAGTCTCTGATACCAGATGTAAGTCTAGGATCTCGATTACACGCTGTATGGTGGCTGGATCAAAGATCAAAGCACGATGAACATAGGTGTTTGTCTCAGCAACTGCCCGGAGGTCTCCTGGGTGACAGTGCCCTTTTCACTCACAAATGTTCAAAGTACCATACGCCTAACCGGCTTACAATGTGATAACTCGACTCCTCGAACTACCAGCTACATATATTAGCCATCTCACACACACCCATTAGCTAAACAAACCGCTACACGTGGATACAAGACTCGGAAAACACACTCTGCAGAAACCGCCTAGTCATGGACGCGGTCACCGCAACCGCAGCTCCGCTCTGGCGTCCTTCAGTTTGAATTCTCGCCTTCCCGCCCAGCTGACTCGATCCTCTCCTGTTCGGTGTCTTCTTCATCAGTGTTGGCAGGATTACACCAACAGTGTGGTCAGCAGGACCTGATTGGTTGAAAGCCAAATTTTGGTTGCCAAAACTTGGGGAAGCTAAGCTTTTGGATTCTATTTGATTTGTTGCCAAAATTTGGCCAATACCTCACATTTATCTTGGCAAATATTTTTGCCTAATGTTTGGTAACTTTTGTTTACCAAATCTTTGGCTTGACAAATTTTGAAAGCCAACCAAGTAGGCCCTTAATATAAGGGGATAAGAGAGGCAGACATGGTATCATCTCCATGTCCTACCACCACCCATCACCTCGGACCATATAGCAACACTCTCTTGATAGCATGTGTCAGGGACAAGGCACAACATGCTAATAGGACTGATTTGAAAACATCGTAGCAACTCTCTTGTAATTTTATGACGTGCGTGAGTACTTGAGTGTGTGGCCATCCTTAGATATAAAAGGCCAGTGGCAATCACTACTACAAAAAACATTTGTAGGGGCGGCTGGAGATCATTTGTAGAGGCGGCTCAGCCAGCCGCCCCTACCATACCGTCTCTACAAATCATGCATTTGTAGGGGCGGTTCCTAGACCGCCCTTACAAATCGATTTGTAGGGGCGGCTACAGTACCAGTCGCCCCTACAGTACATTTTTCCGCAAAAAAAATTCAAATTTGACCCGGACATGCATATATATATGCATATATAGTTTAAATTTGACCGGAACATATATATAATTCAAATCTGACCGCAAGCATAAGAGTATTATATAAACTACCATTACAAGTCCAATTCAAAAGAATATATACAACCCATCTCAAATCTCCAATTAGTAGACATGCTGATATATCAGGACAACTGCAGAAAATCATAGAATTGGCAGCCATTACTAGAGCCAATTACTAATCTCCAATTAGTAGACGCTGGGAGTGCATGCCAAATTAACACTAAGATAGAGATAGGACGCTAGCTAGGACTGCATGCCAAATTAACACTACTAAGATAAAGATAGGACTGCATATGTGTCGACGAAATATGGTCGGCAGTCTACTTAGGGGTATGCCCAAGGTAGTAGATTATCGGTAGACAGGTGCGCAAGCTACGAACGAGATGGTGACGCAAGACAGACACGAGGTTTTATCTAGGTTTGGCCACCGTGAGGGCGTAATACCTACGTCCTGCGTCTGATTGTATTGCTGTATGTCAATGAGATTGTTTTTGAGAGGGGTCCCCTGCCCACCTTATATAGTCTGGGGGACAGGGTTACAGATCTGGAAACTAATCCTAACCGGTTACAATTGCCAAAGGTGGCCGGATAAGGATTCCTATTCTAACCGACCAGGATCTTACTTGATCTCCAAGTCTGCCTTGATTCCTTGCGCAGGACTCCGAGCAGATCGGCTGGGCCGCGCGTCGTCTTCTGGTGGGACGGACCCCCTGGTCCGGACCGGCCCAAACCTAGCCATAAGGGTATAGGGGTTAATACCCCCACAACTAGTCCCCGAGCGCCTTGTATCCTTCGAGTAGCGTCGTCTTGCGCTTGCCAGAAGGATGTAAGGGGCTCAAGATAACATTTGAAAAATATTTCCCCCGAAGTGTGCCCACTTTGACTCTGAGTTGAAAAGAGACACGGTCGTCCTTGTAGAATCGGAGGCGTTTGAACCATCAGAATGAGCACATTCACCACAAGGTGAAGTGTGCCCACTTAGTCCCCGAGCCTGGTAGTAGGTGACATAGGCACATGGTGCCAGGGTCTAAAAGAGTCTTGTTAATTAGATACAGCATGCACCATCAGGTGCATCGTACCGATGTAGTCCCTGAGCTTGCTGGAAGGAGAGGTATGAGCCTTGTAGCAAGGTCTAAAGGAGAAAAAATATCCCAACTGTATGCGAGTCGCCAGTCGCATGTAGTCGCGACGCGAAGTCCCCAAGCACAGGTCGAGCGAGGAGCGAGCGACGAAGTCCTCAAGCTGTGGCCAGAGAGTGATCGAGGCAGTCCCCGAGCATAGGTCGAGGAGCGAGCGACGAAGTCCCCGAGCTGTGGTCAGAGAGTGATCGAGACAGTCCCCGAGCACAGGTCAAGGAGCGAGCGACGAAGTCCCCATATGTAGCTCAAAATTCCTGTAATATAAATATGTAGAATGGTAGTACATGATGTACAAAGTAATAAATTATGGAGAAAAAATCAGCGGTGAAGAAATAGCGTATGATGCTCAGCAGTCATTTGCAAATGAGCATGATGTGATAAAGCAGTTGGTGCTTTATAAACATCAGTGTTAAAGTGAAGTTTGTGTTTATACTTAATATAAACTGCCCGACCAGTTAGTGTGTAGCTGAGTCTTCAGCCCTAGCTAGCCCGTTAACCATAACGTGGGGCGCGGAGCCCGTGCACGTGTAGGAAGAACAAAGCGTTGCTAAGGAGCCGCTACCGACCACCCATAACGCAGAGGGCAGACGCTTGTGCACGTGTAGGGAGGAGCCGGAGATAGGGCCATTTCTGGAGACATCGAGCGTCAACATGACTGATCGAGGATTTGCATTAAGTATAGCTGTATGTTATATTTAAGATGGTATACATGGACAAACGTAATTTGAAGAATAATCATGACAAGGACGTTGTGGAGAAACGTCATAATGAAAATTATATTAAATATAAATATTAGAAATGTACTTATCTTTGGATAGAAATCTGGTCGATGGCGATAAAGTTGTCCGGTCCTCGTGCTTTTTAGCTTGTTGTGACGGTGGTCGCGGTTGTCATAGCGCCGTTCTTCGTGGCAATCATCATTGCGACGTGGTCTGGTGGTCGAGGTGGTCGGAGCTCGGCGGAGCTGCTCGAGACGTGGTCGACGTGGTTCGTGGTCGATGTGGTCGGAGCTCGGCGGAGCCACTCGACATGTGGTCGACGTGGTCGGAGCTCGGCAGAGCCGCTCGGGACGTGGTCGATGTGGTCTGTGGTCGACGTGGCTGCTCGATCAATTCGGTGGTCGGAGGGCATGTACCTAGCTCCATCGCATGGGGAGGCAAAAGCCCTCGGACATGTCCAGCCGAGGTTGGGCGTAGTCGGAGATCTTCCTTGCTTGCGTGAAGGTTACGGAGTAGCCTGATGGCGGTTTAGTAGATTGTATGTGGTCATCATATTTGGAGTCGGAGAAGCACACGAAGTCCTTCAAGGTTGTCGCTGTACATTGTGTATGAATACATACATAACACGAACACCCATAGTTGGCCCACTTGCTTGTACTCCGTCTTATTGCATGGTTGCTTGACGTGATCTTCATCATGCATGTAATGGCAAGCCATCATTCAAATCTGGTGTCGTAGTTCCATGTGGATGCCGCCTTAATGCACCGTTACTTCTTGATACTCCTCAATCCGAACCATGTTGACGAAGTTGCGTGGCTTTGGCCGAGGTCGATGTATAAAACACAGATCCGAGCAGCGTTGTATATTGTACGCGTAGTTGGTAGCAGTGTTTCATAGGTCGTAGGGATGAGCCTGGTAATTCTCCATCAAGGCTTCGCACTCGGAGAGCCGAAGACCCGTTGTGGGGGTTGGTCGGCGACGAATGGAGCGCCCTTCAGGAGTAGACGTGACCACGAGATCCGTACCAAGTCGTGCAGGACGACTGGCCCGAGCTGGTCGGGTAGATCTGTTGTGGGTAGTGGTTACCTGCTCGATAGGTTGATTTTGAATCGAATCTACCAGAGCTAGGGTTTCAGCAAGCTTGGTGCCGACCTGATCGATGGAGTCGAGCAGGTCGGTGTTGTCGATCTGCCTCCCTTTGTAGCGAGGGAGCGAACGACGGGTTGTCGGCGTGGCTGAAGACGATGCTGGCGCGGCCGAAGCCAGATCCAATGTGGTCGGAGCCGTAGCCGATGCTGGTGAAGCAGTGGTCGACGCAGATTGGATCTACGCCTCCCCCGTGGTCATGGCGATGAAGTTGTCAGAGCCAGTGGTCCAGGTGATCTGGCCGATGGTGAACATGAGGCCGTTCGGTGTAGCCATGGAGCCGGGGATGATGACCATCTTGTTAAATCGGGAAGCGAGACGCACACCCCTACACCGGGCGCGCCACTATCGATGAAATATGGTCGTGATCTACCTAGGGGTATGCCCAAGGTAGTAGATTATCGCAGCGAACAGTGCGCAAGCTACTGAACGAGATGGTGACGCAAGATGCATACACGAGGTTTTATCCGTGTTGGCCGCCGTGAGGGCGTAATACCTACGCCCCTGCGTCGATTGTATTGTTGTATGTCAATGAGATTGTTTTTGAGAGGGTCCCCCGCCCGCCTTATATATAGTCCGAAAGGGGTTACAGATCTGGAAACTATTCCTAACTGGTTACAATTGCCAAAGGTGTCCGGATAAGAATTCCTATTCTAACCGACTATGATCTTGCTTGATCTCCAAGTCTACCTTGATTCCTTGCGCGGGACTCCGAGCAGATCGGCTGGGCCGCGCATCGTCTTCTGGTGGGACAGACACCTTGGTCCGGACCGGCCCAAACCTAGCCGTAAGGGTATAGGGGTTAATACCCCCACAATATGCCAAAGCTAGAATCGTCGATCCTCCTCAGTTCCTCCTTCCATGCGTAGCCCTCAGAAGTTCAGTCAATACCAAGGGGCAGCTCGCCACCAGAGGATTGTAGCTCTCGGTCGCCAGGACCGCATCAAGAGTTTCAGGCGACCTGGCAATGAAATCAACACACTTGGCCTTAAGCAGCGAGCACTTGTGCTGCTCAGCTAGGACAAGAAATGTAAGTGATAGAGTAAGTGGCCATGTGCACAAGATCTTTAAGGCATTCAGATATATACAGATACAATGTGTGGCAGTACTAAACAACAAAACATATCTCATAAATGGTTTAAGCAGGGAGAAGCATGCATGTGTGGATGAATACAATAAAAGTTTGTAATTTGTAAGCATAAACAGACAGTTTCATTACCTTTTTCTAAAGGAAAAATACTTTGTATCTCAGATTAATAGACTGCAACCCAATCAGAATATTTTCATTGCTGATTGACATCCAGAGATCAGAGATCTGAACTAGCAGATATGAGAAATAAAGAGACACCATTCAGAGCATACACAATGAAATGAGGAAAGAGTATTTTATACCGAGTATATTTGAGCCTGAAGCTTTGTTCTTACCCCAATGTCAGAATGTCTGATCAGAATCAAACATAAAAAGACAAGTAAATTCATTGGAAATTAATCTGATAGATTGAAACAATACTCACTACCATTTTGCTGGGCATGTGTACACGCACAACATGCGGCCAGCAATCAGGGCTAGATACGTCATCAGAGTACACGATATACACTCTCCTCCCTCTACTGCTACATGTAAAAACAAACAAATCGACGGAGATATTAGCGTGCCAACACCGACGACCATATATCAGGAACGGAAGGGGAAGGGGAATGGAGGAGTGGGATACCTGGCAGATGGGACCGTCATCGTCCAGACCAGCTTGCAAGGACACCTGCCGGATAGGGATGCCGAGCAGTGGTCCTCGGAGACCCGCGCCTCAAGCCCGTAGGAGATCCGTCGCCTCCGCTGGTGTCCTAAACCTAGGAGAATGAGTGAACGAGGGGGAACATAGAAGAGAGGAAGGAGAGAAGGGATGAGGAGCTCACCATCCCCCGCAAGCCGGATCCACCGCGGATCTAATGGATCAACCCCGGCTACGCCAAGATGGCCACCATGGAGGTCTACCCGCGTCGGGGGAGATGGGGAGAGAGGGAGGGGAAGAGAAGAGACTGCCTGGACTCACCCGTGCGGAGCGGATCTGGGTGCGGAGCGGATCTGGGAGTGGAGCCAGGAGCCGCGAGCGCGTGGTGGTCTCGTCTCGTCTCGCGCCCGCACAGCCGCGTGGTCAGTCACTGCGCGAACAGAAACCAGCGCGGGCCAAGGTGGGCGTCGCGTCAGCGGAGGGGAGGGACGACGGAGCTGCTAAGAGAAGAGGGAGTGAGGAGAGCGGAGACAAGAGAGAGAGGGAGCCGCCGCCGAGAGAGGATGTGGATGCGCGAGAGGGAGTTAGGGTTGGATTTTTTCTCGGGCCGGAGGTGGCTGCTATATATACCGCAGGAATTTGTAGGGGCAACTGGTGATTCAGCCGCCCCTACAAATGGACACAGCAGGGGCGGCTGGTACCAGCCGCCCTGCAAATCGACTCATTTATAGGAGCGGCTCGTATTACCAGCTGCTCCTACTGTGCTATTTGTAGGAGCGGCTGCTGTGCTGAAGCCCGAGTACGTCACTGTAGGGGCGGCTTCAATGCCAGCCGCCCCTTAAAAAAAGCCCCGTTACTACAAACTGTTTTTCACGTAGTGAATATATATCGATAACATTATCTTATACAAATGGGTGGCATAATAGCCGTCCGAGCCAGTGGCTATGGTTAGCTAATTATGAAATGACGATGGGTCATATAGCAGGGAGTGAGCTTAACTCAATTGGTAAGAGGTATGATCGTGCACTTAACCACTCGTATTCGACTTCTTTTTTACGGATTTGGATGTTTTTTTTTTCTTATTGAAAAACTGGCTAGTTCCTTTCTCCTTTTTTTTTCCTTTTCCTTTTTAAATGATTATGGAGCACGAACGACGTTGGATGAGATGGACGAGAGAGACTATCGACCATCTGATTTGCAAGAGTATGGAAGAGCATACATGCATGACAATGTAGCCATATACTGTTGTATATGGAGTAGAGTAGTTACAGCAGCAGGGATTTGCTGGCGATCATAGTGACATGTACAAGATAGAAACCAAAAAAACACAGATACGGCTGTACTCATTCATACGTGGTTCCTTAATCTAAAAAAAACAAAAAACACACGCCGCATGAAATACTCTCAGTCTCAGCACTGATCACATCGCATCATGTGTCCATCGTCATGCATGCCCCTTCAATTCGAACGAACAACAGCGAAGCCTTCGGGAGCGCGAACAGCGCATCGCCGGCCGCTCCACCAGTCTGCCCCAGACCACACTGACCACGCACGCACCGGCCTACGTACGTGAAACCCGCGCGGCGCTCGCGCGTCGTCCGTCCAACGCTAACGGCCACCCGCGCGCAGCGCTGACCCCCGCTGCGTCGCCGGCGCTGCTGATCCACGCGTCCTCCCTATAAGTAGCCACCCCCGCACCGTCGTCTATCAATCACACACAGAGAGAGACATTCGAATAACACACGACGATGGAATCCCTCGCCAATAACATCGTGGCCGTGGCGGCCGTCCTTGCGGCGCTTGTCGCCGGCGGCTCGTGCGCCCCCCCGAAGTTTCCGCCGGGCCCTAACATCACAACCAACTACAACGGCCAGTGGCTGACCGCCAGGGCCACCTGGTACGGCCAGCCCAACGGCGCCGGCCCCGACGACAACGGTAAGTCGTAGTCGTAGGTTATTGTTGCCTTGAGATTGGGAATTCAATTCGGCCGGCGGTCAGCCGATCGATCGATCATGCACAAGCATGCATGTGTGATATGATGCAGGCGGTGCGTGCGGGATCAAGAACGTGAACCTGCCACCCTACAACGGCTTCACGGCCTGCGGTAACATCCCCATCTTCAAGGACGGCAAGGGCTGCGGCTCATGCTACGAGGTCAGCATCTCGCTCTGCTTGACGACGAAGCAATAGCATGCATGCCTTGGTTTGGCTTGATGATCGAATGCATGGACAGCAGCTAACTGCTTTATTACTTGTTGGACATGCATTGCATGCATGCAGGTGAGATGCAAGGAAAAACCCGAGTGCTCGGGCCAGCCGATCACGGTGTTCATCACCGACATGAACTACGAGCCCATCGCTCCCTACCACTTCGACTTCAGCGGCAAGGCCTTCGGCTCCCTGGCAAAGCCCGGCCTCAACGACAAGCTCCGCCACTGCGGCATCATGGACGTGGAGTTCAGGAGGTATATATTGCTGGACGACGATCTCAGAAAAACTAGCTTCTTCTCCATGTCCATGTCCAATATGCCATGCACACGCAACAAGCAGCGCAAAACTTACACGCCGGCCGTCGTCCTGCAGGGTGCGGTGCAAGTTGCCTGGGGCGAAGATCCTGTTCCACGTTGAGAAGGGGAGCAACCCCAACTACCTGGCCGTGCTGGTCAAGAACGTGGCGGACGACGGCAACATCGTGCTGATGGAACTCGAGGACAAGTCGGCGCCGGGGTTGTTTAAGCCGATGAAGCTCTCCTGGGGCGCCATCTGGAGGTTTGACACACCCAAGCCGCTCAAGGGCCCCTTCTCCATCCGCCTCACCAGCGAGTCCGGCAAGAAGCTCATCGCCAAAGACGTCATCCCGGCGTACTGGAAGCCCGACACCCTCTACTACTCCAACATCCAGTTCTACTAGAGACTTTTTGTATGCCCTTCATCCGGCTCCGGCGGGCTGCGGACCTGCAGCAAACTAATTAAGTTGGCCGCTGATGTTTGCATGAGAGAGCATGCACCGCTAACCATATTGAGACTTCTCAAATCTAGTATGTAATCCTTTTGTTCGGGTTATATATATATATATATATATATATATATGAAATATTCTACTACAAACGGGGGTATTCTAACACCACGGGTGGTAGCTGACATCACCCAGATTAGGCCAGGCATGGGCCGCACAGCGGCACAGCCACCAGGGCGCTGCAGACTTACCCCATCCGTTTCAGCCAGCGAACAAAAGAAGGTACAGCCCCTCCCCACCGGCTGACACACACCTTGCATGCGTCCACTGGGCATAATGTGTCTTTTTGTTTGGTTTCAAGTTTGAAACCATGATATCTTCTAAACTATTTATGTAATTAGCGATCCGTTTTTGTTTTTAGTCCATACATTTAGCAGGGCCACGCAATCCATAGTACCTTCGTTTTTTTCTCTTTGTTTTTTTGGTTTTCCATAATTCTGGGACGTCGGACAAATGCATGGTACTGGATAAACCCATCCCGCACACAAGCATGTGGTCCAGGGCCTCCAGGTTACCAGCACTCAAGCAAAGCACCCATGGTTTTTAGCACCCATCCTATGGCCTCGTTCGCTTCGCTGAAAAAATAAGCCCAAACACTGTTCCGGCTAAAAAAATAAACTGAAAAGTACGGATTACCGGAGAAGCGAACAGGGCCGTTCTTTACGACAATCTTTGATTAGCACATAGTTTGGGTCTATTAGTTTAGTGATATTTCATGGATGTGCTACTTCGGCTCCTTGTTAACTCTTGTTTCGATTTTCATGGATGTGCTGACGTGTAGTCCTGTTATATATGGGCATGCAGCCCTAGCCCGTCAGCCCGGCACGAGGCCTGCTTTTTTGGCCCGGCCCAAGCACGGCACGGTCCGGTGGCCAGCGGGCCCGGGCTGACACGGCCCGAGGGAACAGGCCATGCCAGGTCTTACCAGCAACGCGTGGGCGGGCACTGCACGACGACCATAATTTAGGGAGGCCGGCATGCCCAGTGCCCGGCTGTTAAGAATCCCTACTTTGACCTAATACTATTCCTAACCCTAACTTCCCCAGCCCACCCCCTCCCTCCCCACCGTGCGGCCGCGCCACACTCGCAACGCGCGCCTCGCTCGCCTCCCATCAGCGCGCCTCCCCTAGTCGCGAGCACCACGCCGCCTCCTCCTCCCTCGATTCCCCCTCTCTCTCTCCCGGGCTGAGCATCACGATGGAGGCTCCCCTCCTCCCTCGAGCCTCCCTCTCCCTCAAGCCTTGGCGAGCGCGACGGCAGCGGCTCCCCTCCTACGGTCCTGCCTCGCCGTGGAAGGTGGCGGCGCCCCTCTCGGCTCCACGCCCCCCGCGCGCCTGGCCTCCTCTACGGCGGCGTTGACCTCCACCTCCTCAACGCTCCATTCCGCTCCCTGCGGCCAGATCTCTGGCGAGTGCGGCATCCTTGAGCTCATTGTCTGTCATGCATGGATCTGTCACCGAGCGCCTGGGTGAGTCATGAAGCGAGCAGTGGGAGACGCCGCCACCTCCCAAGCGGTGCTGCGCGCCCCCCCCCCTCTCTCTACTGGCATTTGGTGGGCCTCGGGCTGGCCCGTCCTGCTAAAAAGGCCGTGCTCATCGGGCTGGCCCGACACGAAAAGTGGCCCATAGTACCGTGCCTAGGCCGAAGGCCAGGCCTGCGTGCCTGAGAGGCACGGCCCACATGGCACAGCGTGCCGTGCCGGCCCGATGGCACCGTGCCATGTTGGGCCGGGCCGGCCCGTTGCCCATCTATAAGTCCGGTTCCGCCTTGGCAAGACATCAACTGCACCTGCAGCCATAGGGAGATACACCGCTTCAACATTTGTAATTTATGAAACTTTGAATGGCCATATCTTCTAAACAGTTTATCATTTTTGTGATCTGTGTGTACTATAATATCCCTTGCAATTAAATTTATAATACAAAACCCATATGACTATATTTTTATATATAAAAAAGTGGCACATGGGCCCCACATTTGAAAACTTTGTAAAAACGTAGCCTTATTGGATCTCATTTTGTTTGGCACATTATTTCCAACAATAATCTTTAAGGGCCGTCTGGATCCCTTCGTTTTGGAGAAATTGAAATCTATATAATGGATTAGGCTATTTGGCTTGAAATTTGATATTCCATAACTTTTCCAATCTCACAAATAAGCCTATCTTAAATTCATAGGGTGGGAGATAGAAATGGATTCTATATATCACTATGATATAATTCTATTGTCCAACTTATAGCACACTCTTCAACTCACTTCCTTACAATAGAAATACAACATATAAGTATGTCCCTCATATGCCTAATAATAAATATACAAATATATTCCATATACAACTATATTAGCTTTAATTAATCTATGTTTAAATTATAATTATTAGAATGAATTCAATTTTAAGGATCAAACGGGGCCTAAACAATTTATCAAACGGACTTTTTGTTCGTGAGATATTGCATTTTGAAAGTATGAGAAAATCCACTGTAAGTGACGCGATGGGAGAGAGAGGTGAGAGAAATGTGAGAGAGGAGAGATGCTGCTGCTTGGTGAGTGGTGAGAGAAGAGATGCTTCTGCACTCCACTGCGCTGATGCCTGCTGCTGCAGTGTGTGGCTAAGGGCGTGTTTAGTTTCGAAAATTTTTGGCTTTTGGCTATTGTAGCATTTTCGTTTGTATTTGGCAAAAATTGTCTAATTATGGATTATTTAGGCTTAAAAGATTCGTCTCACAATTTCTCGGTCAACTATGTAATTAATTTTTTTTTTCGTCTACATTTAGTACTCTATGCATGTGCCGCAAGATTCGATGTGACGGGTACTGCGTAAAAATTTTTGGATTTTGGATGAAACTAAACGGGGCCTTACCCGATTCAAAGCAGATGCTCCTTTAAAAACCAAAGTCAGGTAGGAGTACACTGCTTGGTGAGTGGTTGTGTAAATTCAAACCGGTAACCAGCTGACAAAAGCCATTTGAAGCCAAAGCATTCCTCGTGCCGGAGCCCGGAGCTGCTACTTGCCTACGTCATCAATATTAAGGAGTGTGGGCGGCATGGCGGGTGGAGGCATGGTGTAGCTGCTGCATCAGATATTTTTGGGGACCAAAATCGATGAGGCAGTGCCCACCGCTTGCCTACGTCATCACTATGCGTTTGGCTGAGGAGTGAACAGGAGCGGAGCGGCTCCATCCCAATTTGTAGGGTGTTTGGTTTTTGGACGGTAGGGAAAGAGCGGTTCCACCGGGAAATATTCCCTCAATATCCTTCACCGGCTCGCTCTCTTTTTTTTCGAACGCAGCCGTTCTTACGCGACGGCGTGAAGGGCCGTTTCTCTCCATCTCTTGCACTCCTCTCTCTCGTATTGACGAGCGGTGGTGCATCTCTCTCATACTCGCAAGCTGGCGGCGGCGGGCCGAGCGTCGGTGCATGCTCGGGCGTGGGGGCGAAGCAGGCACTGGCGAGCGGTGGCGCATCCTCACGCGGTCGGATCTCCCTCTCTCGCGCGCCCCTCTCTCTCATGTTCGGCAACGGCGGCGTGGGCATGGTCGCGCGGAGGATCTCCCTCATTCGAGCGCCTCTCTCGCCCGCGGCACGAGCAGGCACGGCAAGCGGCGGCGCGTGCTCGCGCTGGCGCGGCGAGCGACGAAAGCGCTGCGGGAAAGACGAAGAAGCAGGATTGTTTGACTGACGAGAGGGCCCCACTAAGATAGTCTTTAACAGAGCTGGTGCCAGTTTGTTCTGGTTCCTGAATCAAACACCAAATAGAGCCATTCCGTTCCTCCAACCAAACGCTGAGAATGGAACCGCTGGATTCTCAAAATCAAGGATGGAATGATTCCTACCATGCTGTCTAACCAAACACATCCTAATTTATACTAGTTTTAATCAGCTGGAAGGGTTTTTGATTTCGAACGAGCCCTAAGTGTAAATCTGTTCTTTATTTGTTTTACTGCGGCAATATTTTTGTCCATTTAAAAAAAATCTAAAGTTTGTTTTGTAGTTGAGATGCACAAATGTAGTGCATATAAATTATTTTTATATTCGCTCATACATCATGAGTGTCTCCCAAAAATACTTTTATAATTTAAAAACTATTTAGCACATGTCCCAACACAATCATGTGTGATCTTGTTTTGTAGATAAAATAATAAGAGATATTATAGTGAAAACAAATTACAAATTAGATATATGGTTAATTAGATATTAGGATTTAAAGCTTAATTATCCACAAATTTTCGAACCACGTGCACGCAGGTGCATGGAGGAGTCGCATGTTTTGGAACGACTTGAATTGGAAAAATAAGACCCATATTGACTATATTTTTATATAAAAAATAAGTGGCGTGTGGGCCCCATATATTCCTCAGTCACTACATCAAATCAGCGCATGCATGCTAGGACAAGCGGATGGACAGCCCTGTGACTGGTTTGGCGCTCCCAGCGACCAGTGTGCGTCAGCACAAGTGCAATTAGGAGGGCACCAGGCTGACAGTTTGAGAGGCAGCAGCTCATAAAAGAACGCTAATTGAAGAAAGGGAAAAGGCGAAAATTTTGGTGAAGTAGTAATTGACAAGCTAATTGCCATTGACGTCTGGAATTAATTAGAACTGGATGTGGAAAGGTTGTTCATCTAGACGAAATTGTGATTCTACGTCAATTTCTAATGAGAAAAAATATGTAAAATAGCGGTAGCAGCCCACCCCTCCCCCACCGACTGACACAAACACCATGCACATTAGCAGTAGCAGCCCACCCACGCACATTAGCTGTCAGCCATCGCTTTCGAGCTATGGAGTATAGCAGCAGCCTATAGATGTTCAACGGGCCAGGCCGGCTCGGCACGGCACGGGCCGCGTGCTGTGACCGCGGCCCGATGGGGTTCGGCCGCGACGGCACGCCGTCGTGCCCTCTTGGGCCGTGCCGCGGCGGGCACCGTGCTCGACTTATGGCCTAGGCATGGCTGGCTTGGCGGGCCGTTTATCGGCCGGGCTGGCGAGAAGCACTGCAGTTTAGTCAGGATGCGGGCGGCCGGGCCCACGATGAAGCGCCAGCAGCCAGAGAGAGGGGAAAGGGGAGGAAGCGCGAGCCGCCGAAGTGGAGGCGGGGAGGGGGTGTCCGCGTGCAGCAAGCAAGAGATCGGCGCGTCCGTCGCGAGGAGCCGAGGGGAGGGGCGCCCCGCGCAAGCACCGACCTCAATGCCGCCCGCAGCTCCATGAGCTATGGCCACACCGAGCGGTGGGCCACGGACGGGCGTGATAGGGCCACCGGAGTAGCCAGCGTGGCTCCAGCGCGCCGCCGCCGCCGCTGCACAGCCCGCCTGACCGCAGCCCGCCCCGCCATGGCACCACCACCTGCAGGCGCAGCCGGATCCGCCATGGGCACACAGATCTGCAGTGCAGCTTGACAGGCGGATCCGGCCAAGGAAGCACCTTGATTTGGGGGAGGGACTTGGGTGATTCGTGGGAGAGAGAGAGAGAGGAGGGAGGAGAAGGGTCGGGGGAAGACCCAGGTGACCTTGAGCTATATGGGCGGCCGAGGATGAGAGCGTTGGGAGGTTGGGAGGCGTGGGGGGAGGTGGAGGCCTACCTTAGGGAGGGAGGGTGGGGCGGCCTGGCCGTGGGGGGGGAGGAAGTGAGGAGGAGGGGGGGGGAGGGCGCCTGCAAGGCCGTCTCTGGGGGTGGGGTGTTAGGGGTTAGCGGGCACCTGGCTGACTGGGCTGCAAGTGGAGGCGATGGGGTGTTAGGGTTGGTTAGCCGGGCCGAGGGGGGGAGGCGGGGACGGTGGGTGGTGGGCCGCACTGGGCCGTGGGGAGGGGAGGAAGGAGTGAGGAGGCCTCAGGAGGAGGGTAAACAACGCGGTCCGGGCCAACCATCAGCAAGTCCAGTTCCGGGTCAAGCCAGTTGTTCCATCTACTATGTTTACCAGGCACTCTAATCCAACCGTTTATAGCGCCATGTGTCAACCATCCAAGGTATGGTAGCCGTCACCCCTCGGGGGGTAGCTATCCTCCGTGGTAGAAATTCCACAGAAATATATATATATATATATATATATATATATATATATCCCATATATATATATATATATATATAGAGAGAGAGAGTGCTCGTGAGAGCTACTACAAAAGCTTGCTACAAAATAACTTATTATGTAGTCACTTTGAGTTACGATAATTACTATATTAATTTACGAGATTATATTAACTCATTACTAATTGGTTTAATATAACGTTATGGTAAATATCCCCATGTGTTATAGTAACCTAACTATCGTAAATATGTATTGACATTATCGTAAATTAGTATATAAAATTATCGTAAATGGAGGTATATATATACACACACTACCCTATAGCTGGCTACGAGATTATAGTAACTCCTTGCTAAGTAGTTTACTATAACGTTAGGGTAAATATCCCTATGTGTTATAGTAACCCAACTATCGTAAATATGTATTAACATTATCGTAAATTAGTATATAAAATTATCATAAATGGAGGTGGCTACATAATAACTTATTTTGTAGCTGGCTACTTAATACACTCTCAGTACTACACCCAGGACCACAAAATACTGAACAATACTGAAACGCGACTACTGAACGATACTCTGTTCAATATAGCAGTTTGGTGTAGAATAATATTCTACACCTTAGGGTGTAGAATAGCATGCGCATGTGTATATTTATGTTGATAAGCTGTTATCAACAATTCGACCGAGGGAAGATAATACTATATGCCAGAATTCTTGGATTGATGTTTCGTTGGGGGCATGGAAGACCATACCTAGAAATTTCAAAAATACACGTGAAGACAAAGCGTGACAAAGGACAGCGTAAAAGAAATATATAGTGACTCTACTGTAGCTAGGACAATTATTGAGGACTGTAGCACCGTCCGGCTGTCTAGGCAATAGTAAAGATGAATAATTGAAGACTTTGCCTTGAAGGCTCCTCCAGAAGATCAACACGAAGGACGCTCCAGAAGGCTCTTCCTACTCTATAAGAGAAGTCGGGCGCATGCAAGATCATCACCGAAACCAGAACCACTACGAGGACCACCACCAGCAATACCTCCATTGAAGCCACCGCTCCACTTTCCCACATACACCATGAAGACCATGATCTCAGGAGCACTCTAAGTTCGTCCACCTTTAATACTAATCCTCCGCTATCATTGTATTACTCCACCACCGTTGTAAATGAGAGAATAAAGGAAGTCTCCGTGATCTTCCTGCGCTTGTAAGGTAATCCCTAAGGTTTGTGCTAAGTGATTGGGGTTTTCCGAAAGAGAAAGCCGTATGTAAGCTTGCTCTGTGAAAATGAATTAAGCTTTCCTATTTTAATCACTGCCTTCATTTAAGCTCGTTCATATGGGGCGATGTTTTTATGCTAGGGACCCTAGAGGAGAAACCTCTGCGTGTATTGTTCTCGTGTTAGCCCTGGTAGCGACGTTTGTAGAGAACCCTATATGCGTAGAGAAGTGTTCCCTTCGGGTGAAACTGCCTAGGAAGACCATAGAGCCTGAGCCCTGTGTATGCATGGCTGGGGATAGCGAGGGAGAAGACCGGGTTAGCCTAGTTCTGAAGCGTGCTAGTGATGCATATGGTGAGTACTGAGTAGAACTGACACAAGCATCGTCGCACGATCGGCTGAAACGTTGGTCTCGTCAGCATGTAAAAGATCCTGAAAATTACACGCATACCCATAATCCGCATATACCTAATCACGCACTTAATAAACAAGCACGGTGCTTGCATAGTGAGGAGAGTTTGGGTGCCTGTGCCACTCCCAGGTGAATGCTCGTGCACTGATTATATTCCGAATTCGAATAGTAGCGAGTATTTTGAACAGTGCCACGAATTTAAACCGGAACCGTTGAATTTGAATAGTGTTGTGTGTGTGGCTCATGGGGAAAAATAGACACAAATTTGCTAGGCATGGGGAAAAATAGACACAAATTTGCTAGGCATGGGGAAAAATAGACACAAATTTGCTACATCCCGGGAAATGGCTCATCTCCAAGAAAAGATGATGCTCTGATTACATATATTCGCTTGCTGAACACCTGCAGTTCATCCTGAGATTTTAATAACAAAACTAAACATGGAAGGCAATGAATATGTCGATTGAACCTGAAACACTTTTGTTCCAAGCACAATACTCTTTTGTACAAATGTACAATTCACTGCGAGTTGCAACTTACATCCCAAAGAGAAGGCTTCTGAACTAACGATAGATTATCGAATCATAACGATAACAAAATTAAAGTTGAATGGACCAATTGGGGGCGGGTTCGTCTGCCTCATCTTTTCTTCTCTTAATGCGTTGATTCACCAACCTCCCACGAGTTCTCGAAAATAGAAAGAACCGATCGTGTATGTCATGTAATTCTCTTCCTCTTAATGAAACACATGCTAAGGCACATTCGCGAAAAAATTACAATGGTGGCTTCTGCTGCTGCTGCTGCTTGAAGTGTTCCTGTATAGCAGAATAAAGAGCATGATTCGGGATGAGATGATGGTGTGCCAGAGGTAATTTTGTCATTGGGGACGTGCTGCGCCCACTGTGGAGCCAGCCCTTTATGACCTCTGCTTCGTAAGTGTACCCATCTGCAGCAATATGAGGATTCCTCATCACCTCCTACAGTTTTATTTCACACACAAAAAAAAAAAGAACCAGCTGTTAGTAACCCGACGTTGTTGACACACTTCACATCAATATATGAATTTGTTTTTTACTTAAGCAAGCACAACAATCTTCTACTTTAAAATCAAACTTATTTCATGGCAATATGAGGATTTATCATGGACTCATGATGCACGACCTCATCTAAAATAGAGTGGTTCCTCAAACCAAACACCCTACTAGAGTTTGGAATCATGAAGGTAGGCAATTATTTAATCGAGCACTATACTAACCAAAAAATCCAAACTAAATGTTTTCTGTCCTCGAAAACATTCTTCCACCATACCTTAGTTTTGAAGTTTTGTTAGACTAAGAACACCAGAGGTCTACTGAATAAGCTAGCAAATCTAGTCCGACAATGAGCTCCAAGAAGATCCAACACAAAATGACTTTCTGATGGTTTCAGGATGGAAAATAGCAGTCCTGGAAACAAGAGAGTTTTGGGATGGGGTTGTGTTGCTATGACACCTTTTTCAAAACATGCTTGAACATGTATATTTTTTTAAGAGGAAGAGAGTTTCAGAGACCACATGCGCACTCAAGCCATAAGCAGCTCAAGTGGCACAAGACTCGAACAAGGTTTCTACTCGAACAAAAACACTTATTGCTTATAGTTTAGGAATGCTGTTTCATTTGATTTGTTCAGTAATTTGAGTTACTTAATTGTCTTGGAGTTTTGTAAATAAACTATGTAATACCTTGCTCTTCTGAAGTTCCGGTTCTAACAAACTGCATAAGTAAGGTTCTGTAGCACAATAAATGGACATAAAAAATACCTGAGAAATAGGACATACGAAGCAAGAAGGTGTGTGGCTCTCAACAAACCGGTATCCAAAGGACCGTGATGTGGTTGACAGCGAAGCTGATTTCACCAGGGGCTCAATCACGCACCACACGTCACTCATACGACTCGGTCGCCTTCTTCTGCTAAGCTCTGCACACTGCAGACCGAGAAGCATCAGCTTCTTGGCTTGCACAAATGGCCACTCCCCAGCTGATTGGTCAACAAGAAGCTCCGACTCATCTTTCTCAAGTGCATCCTCCACTGCCCTTCCAATGCCTAAAGCTGGCTTCCCAGTTACTAGTTGGAGTATGACAATGCCCAAAGAGTATATGTCAGACCGTGCTGTTAGCTCCCCGGTGGTAAGGAATTCAGGGTCCATGTAGGCAAAAGTGCCTCTTGGGTTCATCGTTTGGTAGAGGCTTGTGGACATTGTGCTAGACTTAACTAGGAGGCAAGAGATGCCAAAATCACTGAGCTTGCTGACCAAATTGGCATCAAGGAGGATGTTTGCAGGCTTCAGATCACCATGGATTACTGGGTGAGGCTTGTTAGAGTGAAGGAAGACGAGTGCAGAACATATCTCACCAATGATCCTCGTACGGACTTGCCATGTTAGTGGAAGCGTGTTGTTTTCACAGGCTAGACGGTCTTCAAGGCTTCCATTTGGTAGGAACTCATACACAAGACCTGAAGCTTCTGAGCAAGAACCCATAAGCGTTACAAGGTTTGGATGCCGCACCCTACTAAGAACAACAACCTGCACAGTAAAATTACTTTCGTAACCTAAAACAGTAACATACGTTGCATAATTCAAGTGTTCAGCAGTTATTACCTCTTGCCGAAACTGCGACTGCCCTTGCAAGTTATGAGAGCGCAGCATCTTAATTGCCACTGTTGTGTTGCGCAGGAGACCTCTGTAGACACGCCCAAATCCACCTTCACCAACCTTCAGTGTGTCACTGAAATTCTGTGTTGCCAGCTGCAGCTCTGACAAAGAGAATTCGGTGTTCCATGTCAAACTTGGGCAAGGTGATACTGTCTTCTCTTTCTCTTTGCGCAGCCCATCTGCATCCTTGAGCGCGTTGTCCCTTTCATGCTTCAATTTCTCATACTCCAACTTCTGTGAATGAATAAGGGATTTACTTGCTGCCAACGTGTCCTCAAGATCCTTGACAATGCCACCATAGTCATCGACTTGTTGCTCCAATGTTTCCTTCTGTTCGCTCACCTTAACAAGTTTATCAATGATGTCATCTCTGTCACGTTTAAGTGCATCCATTTCTTGCTTCATCCATTCTATGACGCCATTTGCCTTCGCTAGGGCTTCCTTGACTTCTTTCCTCTTCTTTGCCTCATCCAAAGATAAATCCTCACAATTGTTTGCCTATAATCATCAGAACTTTGTGTCAGATTCTGCATAGTTTCCATGATAATGTGGTGAAGATTTTACCTTTCGGCGAAACAAAACCGGTTCTTCCTCTGCTTTTTCTCTCCTCGCAGACTCATCAAACGCTTGCTTCTGATGGTTCTCAGCCTTAGTGGAGGCTTCTCCAAGTTTATCAAATATGTCAATATTTGAATTCATGGCATCCTGTCATGCACCTTCATCTGATCAGATCAATTCCCAACTCAACCCTCTACTACTCAATTTGGGTCTTAAAAGGCAAACCTGTTCATGGCATGGAGAGTTCTGAAGATTATTGCCAACATGTACTAAGGGTCGGATTTCAGAGGCATAATGCCTAGGTGTTGAAAATGAGCTGTAGTCACTGAACCCCTCGTCAGTCACAGTAGAGGATGCTTGGTGCGAACTTGGAAAATTACCTCTCGGAACACTATCCCAGGAACTGACAAAGGTATCCTCTATGCTTCGCCTGCTAAGACTTGTCCACACAGACAACCGAGAAGGTAGTCGCAATGATGTTCTAACAGATGCAGGCACAACCTTTTCTGACATCGACCTCTGTATGTGATCATCAACCGCATTGCATGCATATCCGTTTGGTTGTCCACCCCACTCAGATAAAATGGATATTGAACTTGTGGAAGCTGGGGGTGTTGCTGCACTGTGCACAGGAGCACCAGCCTCCCTGTAGTAAGTTCAGTTTAGGGAAAATAATTAAGTGTTTATAGGAAAAGAGTGAGCAGCAACAAAATGATAGCATCTAAAATGTGATGTGCAGATAGGAAATGAGATCATAAGAATAATCTTAAATCGATATGCAAATAAATAGGAGGTCCAAGATAGATTAAAGGAAGCAGTATGATTTAAATGCTGCTCATAGACAAATTCACCTTAGCTAACAATATAAGACTGATTTTTTTCCTTGAATATAAGACTGTTTTTTTTTTCTTCAGGAGGGTTGCATATCATTTCATTAAGAATTGAGGAAAGTACACCAGGAGAGAGAAATAAATCTCCCAGCCCCTAACACACACACCCAGGACAGATACTACACAATACACCCATGACACAAAGAAGTGAGCCTAGCTCAACTGGTTGGGTGGGAGGTGTGGTTGTGCACCCAACCACCCAGGTTCAAGTCCCCTCTTAGCTTGAATTTGGGTGTCTGTTTTCTCTTCTTAATAAAAAAACTGCCTAGTTCCTCCTAGGTTGGATCTCGTTTTTTTTAACACACCCGTGACACACCACCGGAGAATATGATGAGCTATCAGAATTCTTACCTAGTGCATATCAGATGTTCCTTACAAACAAACCAAATCTTGCACGAAGTATCAGCTTTCTGCAGGACAGCAAGCGCCGTCTTGGATTTAGGCATTTTCATTTTCCTGGAATTAGGAAGTAGGGCATCACTAGGTAAAAATTCTAATCTATTAAATTATAAACAATGGATATAAGTGCTGAAGTGTGAACCTTCGCAGCATACCTAGAGAAGTGCTTGTCAGCAGCTGCTCCCATGATGAGTTTGCTCACACCATGCAGTGAAACAATCTCTGCAATCCCTTTAGCAACATCATCATTTTCAATCACAAGTTTCTCACATTTGACCTGAAAAGGGAGTGACGCTTCAATAATTTCCCTGCTCTGCTCATGCCTCATTCAATTCTAAAATGCTTGTCACAATACAAAGATTGAAAGATTATTGGTTACACCTTCATTTTTGAGCACTGGTGAATGTACTCATCCAAGTGTTTCTCAACCTTCTCCCTCTCATACTGTCTATAAGCACTAACCTGCTCTGGTCTCAGTTTACTTGCATGGAACTTGCTTCCCACTGACAAATAATGAGATGATAATGTAAGTTTGTAATTACACCACGTGAATGAAGTATGTAACTTGAAATAATCATCATATTCATACTACATTTCAGAAGGACTTAACAAGGACAAGCCTAACAATAGGGCACCCTGAACAACCTAAGTTTACACATACGACTAGGTATCCTCAATTCACCAGCCACCAGCGAGTAAGTTTAAGCAAATCCATACTAGGACCCTAGCATTGGATCAAATTCCAGTTATTACTTCCGAAATTTGAACTATGAATTCATCTCACTACATGACTGCAGAACATGTTAACAGTTCTCCTCCAGTTAAGATAAAGTATTTCCACTTTCCAGACACAATATGTTGGGAATACTACTATTACTAAAGAATTTGAAAACGGAAATCCAGTTGCCAACCAACTGCCGAAGCAAATTATCGAAAACAGATCCCAACGGCGCGGCCTTTGCAAACCAACAGTAACCCGGTTACTCGACCCAAGCCGAAAGAGAAATCTCAGTACAAACCCAGCGGAGAGGTGGAATCCCCTGAGACGGCACATGAATATCCCAAATGTGCTCGCCGGCGTCAGCCTCTGCCCCCCGACTTTTCCGCCGCCGGCAGCGACGACGGCGACGACGGAAGCGCCGCATTTCGTTTGGGGTTCCAGCAGGGACTGCAGGGTGAACCAAAATGTGCAATACGACGAGACAAAAGGGTTCTAACGCAAAGCATGCCACAGCGAGTCAGGGACAGGGACCACGTTCTTCTCAATCAGAGAGCCGCACGGGCGTTGTGGGCTCGAGCAGCGAGGCAGCGGCGAAGCGGGGGAGCACACGTACTCATCGGGATCATCTGCGCCGGCGCGTGGACGTGTGCCACCACCACGAAAGCGCCGGCCACGGCCCCGACGTGCCGGAGCGTCCACGCGAGAAGGGACTTGCCGCTCTTGTGCTGCTCCGGCACCGCCACGAACACCTTCTCCGTCGTCTCCTCCTCCCTGGCCGCCTGCTGCTCCTCGAATATTTCCGCCGTCGCGCCGCCAGTAGTGGTGCTGGAGGAGTAAGAGTCGGCGCCGCCGCCGCCGTCGTTCTCCCACGCGTCCATGGGGCGCGCGCAGCGAAATGGCGGGCGCGCGCGTGCCGGGCAAGTCGAGGTTGATTACGATCGGTAGCGCGAGACTAATAAATATCATATCGCAACTAACGAACTGAGGTTAGTTCGCTCGGACGGTGGACTGGTCGCACTGCCACGTGCCAACCCTATTGTGACGCTAACAGGTGGGGCCTACGTGATATGTGGTGCCAAAAAGGCTTGAGTGCTTGACGGGAGGCCATTAGGCCAAGTCAACCGGCGTGGGGAGGCATCGAGTGAGAGAGAGACAAAGAGTGACTGGGCATCATTATTCATTACCCCCCCTTTTTTTTTTTGTAAAATGTAAGGAGGTGTTTGGCAGGGCTCCGAAAGAGGAGCCAGAGCTATTTGTCAAACGGCTCTGACTTCTTGTAACGTTTTCCATTGGAGCTGAAGCTCTACCAAACAAGCCCTAAGGTACTCCGTAAACTTTCGACTATAGTAGCACGAGTCTAGGACACAACCACACAACACTACTCATTTTGATAATAGTAGCACGAGTCTAGGACACTATAGTCGAAAGTGTTGTATTATCACAATACTGAATAGTAGTATGAGTCTAGGACACAGCCACACAACACTATTCAGTATTGTGATAATACAATAACAACTTATAAATTCTCACGTTTGTGTGTGTTTTGCAAGGAGCTCTTGTATTAAAATTGGTGGAGCTGGTGCATGCTAAAACTTGCAAAATCTACTGAAAATCTAAAATGGACGGTTCAAACCTATGAGCTCCAACATTTTTTGGGTTGATCACGCTAGCTCTATAAATTCTTGGATTTAGAGCGGTTGACATGTTAACGGTGTTTAGTTTAGTTTAGCAGTTCTATTTTTTTGCATTAATTAATAAATGTGTTTACGCCACTTTGTTTTTTTAACAATTTCACGGACTTGCTAGCCCTCAGACGTCTAATCCGAGGCGCTAGCGTCCAGACGATGCCCGCACAGCGAGTGAGCGCATGTCCGACTTGCAAGCGAGTGCCCCAATAGTGGGCCCGCACCGCCAACCGCTTCCAACACCATCCCATGTGCAACATGTAAAAGAAGAGAGATGAAGAACTTGAAACAAGCGTCTGAAACACTTGCAAAAACGTCGAAAAACCTTTGAAAACCATTGCAAAACATATGCAACCTCCAGATGAAATACTTACAACTTACGTTTGAAACACTTGAAAACATATGATTGCAACATGCATGTATATGCAGTATCTAGATAAAACACTTGCAACATACATCTGAAACAGATAAAAACATTTGAAACATACACTTGAAACATACGTGTATAGCCATTGCAACAGTGCAACATCCCTATAAGAAAAATGGACCCTAGGCCCATTTACTTTGGATTTTGGTGTTTGATGACCAACACAACCAAATTGGACTAATGAATTTACAAGTGATTGTTTTGTAGTTCAATAGAGTGCAAGACGTGACTTGGATGAAGGCGACGTGATGATCCGATGATCAACACTACAAGCAAGACCTTAGAAGCACAAGAGAAGACCCAATGTATCAAACAAAGTCCAATCACGAAGACAGGAACCAAACCGGATGCAAGATCACGAAGAAACGAGCTCATAGAGATGACCGGACGCTGGTAGCACAGTGACCGGACGCTCCAATCAGAGGCTCGACAGCAGCAGCGACCGGACGTCTGAAAAGGCAAATTGACCGGACGCAGGACAACAGAGTCCGGTCGAGTACAGAGAGGTTTCATAGCGGCAAAATTGCGACAGGACGCGTCCGGTGCCATGTGACCAAACGCTGGCAACATCCGATCAGTGGATCGTGGCTCCAACGGTCGAGATGACCGGACGTGTCCGATCAGGACGACCTCAGCGTCCGGCCAGTAGCAGAAAAGCGGGATTTCGTCCCCAACGGCTACTTTCTTAGTGGGGCTTATAAATAGACCCCACAACCGGCCATTTGATGGGAGTGGAGCTGAAGAAACATATCTAGGGTATTGATACACTATTTTAGTGATCTCCACTTGCATAGTGCTTAGTGTTTCATTAGGTGATTAGCGTAGGTGCTTTACAAAGTGCTTAGATTGATTAGACCACCGCTTATGCGCTTGCTCTAGGTTTAGGCCTAGTGTTTAGTGAGGTTTGCATACGTCTTACCACTCGGTGCTTGTACGCACCATTGTTGTACATCGGAGGGGCTTGTAGTCTTGCGAGATCACACCAACCGCGTTTGTGGTGTGGCCGCCACCGTGTACCGGAGGGAACAAGGCCCATGGCGTTTTGGCCAGAAGCTTGATAGTGAAGATGGCGGGGAGCATCCGGGAGAGGCTTGCCGGAAAGCACGTCAGAGACCCACTTGCGCGTGGGGAAGTGTCGATGTTTTACCACCGATAGCCTACCACAGGGGTACCCGGGACAGTATGTTCGGGCTTCAGCGTATGCGGACCTCGATGGTGAACGTAAGAGACAGTCGATTTATCCTGGTTTAGGCCCTCGACTATAGTCGAGTAATAACCCTACGTCCAGTCGGTGTTAGCTTTTGCGTTGGATTGATTGTGTGTTGTTGTGTTGTAGAAGTCATGATCTCCCGTCTCTAGGAACCCTATCCTCCTTTATATAGTCAGGAGGTCAGAATCCTAGTCGGTTTACAATGAGAGTTCCTAGTAGGATTACAGAACAATACTACTACTAAGATTACATGGGGAGAATCCTAGTTAGACTAGATCTTCTCTCTTCCTTGTGGGGTATCATGTGGGTCCTGCACTGACAAGCCCCCGAGCACTTCATGGTTGAGCTCTGGAAGCCTCGTCTTGTTCTTTTAGGTCTTGCCAAGCAGGAACAAGCGTCGTCCGAGTGCTTTCTTGAGCGAAACCGTGTAGCGCTCTGTGAGATCTTCGCGTGGTGTGTACCTTTTTGAAGAAAAAAGTACTCCCCTTTGGGTGTAGCCCCCAAGCCTCTTGCTATTTGGTACAAGGAGCGGGAGAGTCTTGTCTTGAAATCGCTCTGATCCTTCATTGAAATGTTCCCAAGCATGTACCTAGGTTCTTTATCAAAAAGAACTCGGATATAGCTCGGTTCGGCTTTTTTTTGTCATGAGTCCTTGAAGTAGTTTTGTCTTGAAGAAGTCTTCTTGGTGACGTGCGCTTTTTCAAAGAAAAAAGTGCACTCACTGAGTGTAGCCCCCCGAGCCTCTTGCTATTTGGAACAAGGAGCTGGAGGGTCTTGAATCTTATGTTGTTTGAAAATTGCTGTCTTGAAGAAGCCTTTCGAGTGATGTGTGCTTTTTTATAGAAAAAGTGCACTCACTGAGTGTAGCCCCCGAGTCTCTTGCTGTTTGGAACAAAGAGTTGGAGGGTCTTGAGTCTGATTTGTTCGAGGAACTGAAATCTTCCTCTGGTGCAGCCTCTGAGCATTTATCCGGGTTCTTTGATTCAAAAAGAACTCGGATGCATTGTCTTGGCGTATTCTCTGGTAGTCTGCTGTTTGTCAGGTGTAGTTGTATGGTGGTGGTTGAGTGTAAATGTTGCATATTCACGGGTTGTACAGCGTTAGCATATTCTTCCAAATATGCTCGTCTTCGAGTACTGTTCCTTCTCGCCTGAGTCTTCCATTATTGAGTCCTGTCTTTTCACTATGTCATTTGTTAGGCTTGTTTCGTTGGTACTCCTAGTCCATGTGCACCGCTCCTTCGATCTATAAATACCCTCCCGGAGTGCTTGTTTTCATCCATTGAACATTTTGTTGAAGCCTTTGTAGTCATGAATATGGTAGTTTGTGAAGTAGAGCAGCCCTCGGGCGTATTTTGTAGTTCATGTGCGTCTTGTCGTGGCTGGAGGAAGTCTTATGATAGGGATTAGAGATAGACTAATCCCGCAGCAGCATTGTACTTGGAAGTACATGGTGGTAGTTGGAAGAAGTCTTGTGATGTGGGATGCGTTCCTTCATCCAGCAGTTCTGGGTTGATCTTCCTTACCCGCCCTACGACTGTCCGGTGCAGATCAACACCTGATCCTACATCACGTCGGGCTTGGGTAGACAGATGCCTGCCGACTTCCCCTGGTCTATGTTGTCCCGCCGTGCTGCTGATTTCCGCCTTGGATGCACTACGTCCGTCCTTTGAAGAAAATAGTGTAGCCGAGTGCGGTTTATTCTACCGAGTAGCAATTTGGGACACGTAGTCGTTCCAAAGCCTAGCTATGTCCGGGTTCCTCTTTGCTACCTTGCTTGTTGTAGTATCGAGTTCGTTGGGTCTTGTAAGATGTGTAATCTTCAATTTCTTGAAACCATTTATAATGAAAAGAATCTTGTCTTCTGAGTTGTCATTCTTTATTCTGCTGATGTCCCGGTTGTTCATGAGAGTCCCAAGTTCTTTTTTAAGGACCAGGTTGTTATGTTCCTTGTGAGGTAACCTTCCATTGCCTCATGGTTGATGAGTTCTTTTTGCAGCAATATGGTAACTCTGCCGTTTTCCTGGATGGATAAGTCCGAAATCTACCCGTTGAACTGTACTGTTGTGTGGATTTGTGCCTTCCGTCATTTTAGCTGTGTCAGTAAATGAACCGTTGCGTTCTCACACCGTGCTTTAACGAGCCTGGTGGGCCGTTTTTATCACTGTAAAATCTATTTAAAGACCTTTCATCTTCTTTTTCTTTACTGCCCTGCTCTTGCCTTGAAACCCTAGTTTTTAGAAATCCGCCGCCACCATTGTCATCGTCACCTTAGCGCCGCTGTCTGAGCCTCATCTTTCCCTATTGCCTTCTTTCTTCCGTTAGCATATGGGCGAGAAGAAAGCCACGAGCAAGTCCTAGGCAGCCTTTGTGGATGAGGAGTCATCCCTTTCTTTGATCGAGAACTAGGAGTTCGTGGCCATGAGGGCTGCCCAGAAGGTTTGGCCGGCTCCAACAACAACCGAAGACCAGCTTCACGAGCTTGTCAGCGATGGCTTGATCCAGAGCAAGGACATTGCTGAATGGAGAGCTCCAGGCGAGCATCGGGTTCCTGCTC